TGAACTTTCAGTGAGCGTGGACCGTAATCAACTGAAAAGCTTTCAAATGTACACCGATAAGAGTCCTTCACTGTTCAAAACAAAGGTCAAATATGGGATATAAGGCTGGAAGGAATAGACCCAAGGCGTGCCACGGCATGTAGGAGATTTGTTTTTTTGAAGACCTAAACAATGACTTAACAGGTTTAAACCTACGACACGGTCCGGGTAATCCAATGACGTACACGGAGTGCGCAAATGTACGCAGTTCGCAAAGTCACTTATCATTTGAGTTGTCCAGTAATCAAGACCCCAGACCAAAGCTGAGCTTCGACGTATGTTTGGACTTGTACATAAATATAGACTTGTACATAAATATAGACTTGTCCATAAATATAGACGAACTCCCGTCTTTCAGCCAGCAGCCAATATTCTCTAACCAACAGCTAAAGGCTTTATTACGTCTAACCGGCACTGCTGTCGTCACTATCAGAGTTCCGGTCAGTTTTCAAACATGGATTTTAAACAGGATCTCGAACACTTGAAATGCTGAGTAATCAGTTCTTGTAGTTTTTTTTTTATCTTCTCTTTTTGTCTACATCGATCATAGTTATGACGTATAGTGTTGAAAGTCCTTTGACTCGCGTGCGGCCCCTTCCATTTTCCAGAGCTCGCCGTTTCAGATTTTTCATTTCCATTTCAAAAGCCCGAGGGTGACCGGAGGGCACGGGACACATGACGCAAGAGAAATTGGAACTCTCAGTTATTGTTCATATCTCGGCTTGTCAGTCGGGGCCCGGGCCCTGACCCCGGTAATCGTCGGCTTATTGATGGACGAACGGTGGACGGACAAAGAAATGGCGTGGTTAAATAGAGAAATGATGGCGGCAACAACTAACGTTGTCACCCCCTTCCCCCCCCCCCCCAAGCCCCAGGGGGATAGAAATGAGTTCGGGGGTGTTGGCGGGGGTGGAGGGGGGTGAAGGAAAGGGATGGCGAGCTGTAATGATTGATATCGACTCGGGGACGTTAATGTGACATGCGTTAGAAATGGTTGAGCATGCGAGAAACACAGGGCAGCAGAGATCGTGCCCTTGGTGGGGGGAGCTGTTTGTGAATGGGCGCAAGATTTCAAGGTCGGAAGGCGTTGACCCGGGTTGACGACGGGTTGACGACGGGTTGACGACGCAGTTATAGACGTTAACGACGTGAAAGTCGGTTGTGGACAACAGCGATGATCGCATACATCTCAACATGTGTGTGGTTGGGGGAGTTATCAATGGCGCAGAGACGTTGTGTACACATCGTTTTGTGTTTATCAAGGACAACGGGACCACGCTACGCTCTGGCTTACAGGGCGCCATTGACCAATAAGACTGAAATGTGTTTTATAGTTTTATGTTATGTGTCACTTATATGTTGTAGGTCGGCTTATGTTAATATGTCACTTATATGTTGCTGGTCGGCTTATGTTAATATGTCACTTATATGTTGCTGGTCGGCTTATGTTAATATGTCACTTATATGTTGCTGGTCGGCTTATGTTAATATGTCACTTATATGTTGCTTGTTGGCATATGTTAATATGTCACTTATATGTTGCTGGTCGGCTTATGTTAATATGTCACTTATATGTTGCTTGTTGGCATATGTTAATATGTCACTTATATGTTGTTGGTCGGCTTATGTTAATATGTCACTTATATGTTGCTGGTCGGCTTATGTTAATATGTCACTTATATGTTGCTGGTCAGCTTATGTTAATATGTCACTTATATGTTGCTGGTCGGCTTATGTTAATATGTCACTTATATGTTGCTGGTCGGCTTATGTTAATATGTCACTTATATGTTGCTTGTCGGCTTATGTTAGTATGTCACTTATATGTTGCTGGTCGGCTTATGTTGTTAATATGTCACTTATATGTTGCTTGTCGGCTTATGTTAATATGTCACTTATATGTTGCTTGTCGGCTTATGTTAATATGTCACTTATATGTTGCTCGACGGCCGAAACAAAGTTTTGGTTTTCTAATAAAACTATCGTAGTGTTCCTGGTGATGGTATTTTTAATTTTTATTTCATATTTAACACACATAGAAATGGAGGGGGAAATGGTTGGGACATAGCACAGAGGTTCTCAAAGTGGGGTTACATGTACCCCGGGGGAGGGGTTACGAGAAGAGTTTGGCGTGGGTACGCGTCGTAAAGGAAAAAATATATTTGTTTAATTGTGACTTAAGTATTTGCAATTTAATTTTTTTTTTTACCCGAGGGTTGAACATCCTAAATTTAAATATATATAGAGGGTATATATATACAGTGGAACCTCTCATAACGAGTAATTCGCATAACGAGCAAAAAAAAAATGTGAAGAAGTTGCTCCCTTAACGAGCGATATTTCGCATAACGAGTTACGCAGGAAGGGGAAGTCCCTTTTTCCTGACATTCATTTGTGAGCCGGGACTTCCGCACCGATGAATTAGTCCAGCGGTTGTCAAACTGTGGGTCGTGACCCCTTTGGGGGTAGCGCGGCCCTTTCCCAGGTGTCGCCTTAGACTATCTGAAAACACATTTTCTTGCAGTTATGAAGTAACAACGAAAATAATTAGGTTGCTGGGGGGGGGGGGGTCGCCAAGACACGAGAAACTGTATTAAAGGGTCCTGGCACTAAGAAGGTTGAGAACCATTGCATTAGTCAGTGTTTAGCACTCGGTCTGTTAGCTTATTGTTTTCGTGTGTGATCACCAGTTTTTACAATTTTTGTATTCAGACAGTATTTGTAATTTTTTTATGTGCAAAGTTTAATAACCTGTGCTAAAATGTCTTCGAAAAAAAAAAAACAACCCACAAGAAGACGATCATAAAAGAGAAAAAATAACTGTTGAAATGAAAAGTAAAATCATTGAAAACCGAGAACAAGGTGTGAGCGGGGCTATTCGTGCTACAAATTTATTCCATGATAATGCTGTGACACATTTTCGTCAAAATTTTGAAGCGTCGGAAAAAACAAATGTCTTTAGACAGTTTTCTAGTTAAAAAGGATTAATTATTTGTCATAAATTCATATTTTTATTTACGTTCTTTGTTTCAAATCTAAATTGTATTCCAAGTTCTAACACTCCTTAACAATTCATAAGTAATTTCATTTGAATAAATGTCAATAAAATTTTGTGAAAAATTAGTATTTTTTCAGCATGGAACGCATTGTCGTATTTTACATTGATTTGTATCGGAAAAATTGTTTCGTTTAACGAGTGTTTCGCTTAACGAGTAAGAATCTGGAACGAATTAAAATTGTTACGAGAGGTTCCGCTATATATATATATATATATATATAAGTTTCGACTTATTAGAGACCTACAGCAATCGGGTGAAGTGTGTGACCTAATTGGGTTTGGACTGGAAGCAACTGTGTAGATTCAATTTACGGCGATGGACCGACAAAAGAGGTCAAAGAAAAGCTGACTGTAATATTGCTGACTTTGAGAAAAGTCCGAAAACTGGATTTAAAAAAAAAATAAAAAAAAAAAATAATAATAATAATAATAATAATAATAATAATTGTAATTCCGCCAACTTCTGTGTCATCCCGTCGCGTGTGGTATGTGTTGGGAAAACAACGCTCGGTGCTTTCAGATTAAAACTGAACGTCCGGTTCAAAGGTCAGTGGCCCTCCAGCCGGTCGGTCATCTTATGATTCAGACCCGAGGGGACCGACCCGAGAAAGGACATAGCGTGACCAAGACAAGGGGTTTATAATAGGGTCCGGCAACCCTACACTGGTCATTATTTGTTCTAACACCGCACTTCCTTGGCGCCCCCCCCCCCCCAAACCACCACCACTTTCGGTGTTCCCATTTTCCGTGTCATATTCCATAACTGATGGTAGCTGTCGTGGTGGTGACCTCATGATTAGCGGTTGACCCTCCGCCATCTTCTATTTAGCCATACGTGACGTGGACATCCAACTGGACAGAGATAGTATTGAAGCTTTTCGATTGCTGTACAGTATTCAAACTGAAAGCGAGCATAAATGCCATGTTTTTGTTATCTTCGTCCTTCCTTCGTGGTCAGCTAACTTGACTGACCCATCCATTTGTGGGATACATGGATTGTTAACCAACTCAGCTGTTCAGCCAGAAACACGCTAAATCAGAAAAAAAGAAGTTTTATTTGTACTAGAATCCCACAATAAATGTATGCAATCAGGTATACAATCAGGTATACAATCAGGTATACAATCAGGTATACAATCAGGTATACAATCAGGTATGCAATCAGGTATGCAATCAGGTATACAATCAGGTATACAATCAGGTATGTAATCAGGTATACAATCAGGTATACAATCAGGTATACAATATGGTATACAATCTGGTATACAATCAGGTATACAATCAAGTATACAATCAGGTATACAATCAGGTAGACAATCAAGTATACAATCAGGTATACAATCAGGTAGACAATCAAGTATACAATCAGGTATACAATCAGGTATACAATCTCAACACAGAATGAAGACATAAAAAAAAAAAAAAGTTAATTTCCTTTATTTAACGTCTTAAAGCTCTGGGATCATTAATAAATTCCGATCTCAGGAAATAAAAATATTTGATTTTTCTCAACATTGACATGCACTTTGAACTATCTTACCTTTAAAAAAACATGGATAGTTCTTCTTGGCCCTAGTGTGTTTCTTGACCTACTGCGATGCTTTGCATATAACAAGAAAAAGCTTAAATATGTACAGTAATGTCCAGCCTAATGGACCATTCAAGTAAGCATAATAGGTATCCAAAAGCCTGAGCACAGCAGGATGCCAGGGAACTATCTCCCTAGAGCCCTAAAACAGTGTTTACCTTGTCTCCAACATCACTCTTGACACTTGATAGTAACGTTTGCCCCTTTATTCCATCCTCCAGGTGAGAGGCCCTTCAAATGCAACATCTGCGGCAACCGCTTCTCCACGAAGGGAAACCTCAAGGTCCACTTCGAGCGGCACAAGGCCAAGTACCCGCACATCAAGATGGACGCTACGCCGGTACCCGAGCACCTGGACCGGCAGCCCAATCTGCTGCCCAACTTCCAGCCCAGCCCCGTGCCGTCGTCCGTGCCACTGCCGCCACCCATACCCCGGCTCCCCATTCCTTCGGCGCCTCACCCACCCCCGCCGCCCCCCTCGTCATCGAACCACAGTTTGACGCCCCATCCGTCACCCTTCAGCTTCGGGGGCTCGTTCCTCTCCTCCCCGGGTATGTCACCTTTCGGGCTGATGCCTCCGCCCCGAGACGGGTCGATGCATTTCCCGCACCCCCTGAGCCTGTCACTGCCGTCATCCATGTCCATGGGATTCTCCCACAGAGACTTTATGAACAGTATGAGCAGACGTGAGTCGCCGACCAACAGACACGGCATGGAGACGAGCGTCATCCGATCCCCGCATCACAAGGAAAGTCCGGTGGGCAACAGCCGCGATCCATCGCCGTCAGATTCTAGGAAATGTAGTTCCCAGTTTTTGAACTACCCTTTCCCATTTCATCAGCCGCCTCGTCGCGACTCGGTTCCCAAGCACGGCATGGACATGTCCGACAGCCACCACAGCGACGATAACGAGGAACGCCGAGAGCGAGACGGCTCCGAAGAACGCCGAGTGGGCACCCCAAATGACAAGCAGTCATCGGCGAGCCGCCACGAGTCTGAAAAGAGCAGAAGTCAGTCGCCGGCATCCCGAAGGTCATCCTCCTCCAAAGTGGCACCGTCCACCCCTGTTCCGGTCACACCCCCTCCACTACCACGCCCTTCCTCCTCACACAGCCCACGCCGCTCACCGGCAACAGTCATCAGCTGGGCATCTTTTACATCCCAGAGCCCGCTCTTACCTAGTCACCATCCGACACTGTTTTCACCTCATCACCCTCTACCTCCTGGATTCCCTGGTCTAGGCTTGCCTATGGGCGGCACTCCACCATCGTTTCACCTGCCCCCACATCTTAATCCGGTCCTCCCCATGTCTGGTCCAAGACTCAGCGGTCACTCCCCGTTTCTCCACCCTCCACCTCCTCCGCCACCTCAAATTTCCACCCCGCCCGGAGACGGCCCGATGTTCAGGAACTCCATACTGCCCACCAAAACGATCGACCCTTCAGAAAATCTAGAGCAGTACATGGAGGTGCAGAAGTCTGAAACATCAAAGCTCGAGGCGCTCGTCAAAAACATTGAGCAGAAAATCACGGACCCTAATCAATGCGTTGTCTGCCATCGCGTCCTAAGCTGCAAGTCGGCTCTTCAGATGCATTACCGGATCCACACAGGAGAAAGACCCTTCAAGTGCAAGATATGCGGCCGATCTTTCACCACGAAAGGCAACCTCAAGACCCACATGGGCGTCCACAGAGCTAAGCCCGCGTTGAGGATGATGCATCAGTGTCCGGTGTGCCACAAGCAGTTCACGAACGTCCTGGTCCTCCAGCAGCACATCCGGGCACACACTGGTTCAATGCCACATATGTCTCACATGCCCCTGCTTCCACCCCACATGGACTGGGCGCATCGACACCCCTTTGGTTTCTCCCGCCACCACCCTTACCTACCTCCGATGCACCCCGACTCCTTGGACCTGTCCAGGGGTCCACCTTTTCATCCACACCCGCACTTCCCCCGAGAACGGCCGCACCTGAATGACAACGAACGCAAGCCGGATATGTTCTCGTTTAAGAAAGAAATCAGTGACCCACGCGAAGACCACCATCGCGAGGTCAAAGAACCAGGGAAAAGATTCTCTCCAAATGACCAAAAAGATGTTTCCCCGAGACCACATTCCCGAGACAGCCACGGTTGTGAGGACAAAGACAGGTCGACCACTAGACCATCGACGCCAAAACGGGAAGAAAACTCAAGCTCCTCCTTCATTAAGCCGAGCTTCGAGTCTGCCTTTCTGCCGCCAGCGTTCGGCAACACCCCTTTTGACGCGCCACTTGCAGCCCTAGAGGAACGGGTCAAGGCCATCGACAGCCAAATGGCGCAGACGTCGTTCGAGAAGTTCCGGAACAGCATGGGCCTGGACTCGACATTCTTCCCCAACTCATCGTCGAGTGCGTCAAACGGTGAGAAGAATTCAGAGTACGGGTCTGAATCGGCCAGCAAGCCCACGAGTCCCGCTTCAGGGGTGGACATGCCGCCGTACAGCTTTCCGATGCTCGGTGGTGGGTACGATGGCCGTGGCGCCACCAATACGTGCAACATCTGCATGAAGACTTTCCCCTGTAAGACCTCCCTGGACATTCACTATCGGAGCCACTCCAAGCTGAAGCCTTTTGAGTGTGAGATCTGCGAGCGTGGCTTCAGCACCCGCGGCAACTTGAAGCAGCACTTGCTGACCCACAAGATCCGTGACCTCCCAAACTCGGCGTTTGACGACAACGAAGAAGAGGTGCGAAAGCGAGAGGAGAACGGCAGAGACAACGAAGACGACGATGACACGAGTGAGCTTCCCAACGAGGACTATCCGTACGAAGAGGATGTGGACGAGCTGGGTATTGATCAGGACGAAGAAGATTACGAGCAGATGAACGATGATGATTTTGACGAACCCCCACCTTCAGATGAGCCGCCGGCGTCTCCGAAATCTCTGTGCGGTGATGGTGACTTCCAGGAAAACAACAATAACAATGTTTCCAATTTTCAGAATCACAATGGCGACGATCTGGATGAAAGTAACGCCGAGGAGCTTGCTGAGGGTGAGAACGAGACTAAATACTCACCCGAGGAGGATTCAGATTCGAGGAGGGACAATTTTCCCAAACTCGAGCCTCTGTCTCCAAGTTCTCAGACGCAAACATTCACGTCTCATTCTGGCGTCACCGTGGAGTCGAGTCCGTCTGCTTCCCTGACTCCTCGACCGCACAACAGCGGGGGGTCTTCTTCCAGCCAGTCCAGCAACCCCACCACGCCCCGGCGTTCGTCCGGACCCAAGCACCAGTGCATGACGTGCATGAAACCATTCTCATCGGCCAGCGCCCTGCAGATCCACACGCGCACCCACACCGGGGATAAACCGTTCAAGTGCACCGTCTGCAGCAAGGCCTTCACCACGCGCGGCAACCTCAAGGTCCACATGGGAACCCACATGTGGAACAACAGCCCTTCCAGGCGCGGTCGTCGCATGTCCATAGAGCCCCCGTTCCTTCTGTCCCACATCAAGGACAACCCGTTCATGCCCGCGGGGTTCCCGCCCAGGCCTCCCCCGGACTTCTTTTACCAGTACCCCATCCCCATGATGAATGGGCCCGGCTCGAAGATGAACGAGATTTCCGTTATACAAAGCCTGAGTGGCGCCCTGCCCAGCCTACCTCCCATCCCTCCCCATCTTATGCACGGGTTCCTCCCCAAGGATGAGCCCAAGTCTCCACGAGAGCCGCGTTCTAATTGTGGGGACGTACGTGATAACCTTGACAAAAAGTCTTCTGGCGAGCTTGACCTAAGCGTGAAGCACGAATCCAAGGACCCCAACACGCCCAGGTCCACCGCAGCCACCCCATCGCTGTCCTTGTCCCTGCACGCCAACACGGCGTCCTTGCCCACGTCGGCGTCCTCGACCACACCGTCTCCCAGCAACAACAAGGAGAACACCGGGTCGGTGGCCCTCGACCTCCGCAACATGCGGGCCCCCCCGTGGATGTGGGGCGCCTTCCCGTGCCACCACTGTGGTCAAATGTTCCCCGCTCAGGAGTCACTGGAGCATCACGTCAGGACACACCATCTGGTCAAATCTGAGCCAGCCGGTCACGCCATGACCAAATCCGATTCTCACCCACCTCTGCCACCAAAGGCGCTGTTGGCGTAACTCCGCTGTTGCTACTGACTCAATCCGCTGTCGTGGCGCGAACAATACAAGTGTTGTCTCTAATCAAATACTTTTGAGATACCATGTTCAGAAATGCACACGGAAATGAGAGCCGTAGAAATAGAACATAACTGGTGACAAGAACGAACACGGACGAACAATTTCTGGTGATCCGTGAACTTTCATTGGAACTCAATGAGCAGGCTATTTTGAAAATAGGTGAATGGTGTATGGGCTGCTGAGGAGGAGACAGGTGAAGCACGTGTGGTTGGCCCTGACCTGGGATATTTAATATACTAAATCTGTAAGCCATTCTATAAACATATCCAGGGTATGCCAACAGCTAACCACTAAAATGTGTTTTGCTGACAAAGATGGCAAGCTTTGCATTGTCGGTGTTCCATAAAATAAATAATGTGTTTACCTTTAATGAGATTCTATGAAGTTGAACCATCTGACCAGGGCCACTGAATTATTTGAACATGAGATTTTAAAAAAAATATATATATAATTTCCTTTTTTTAAAAAAAAATGTTTATACTGACATTGTTACTAGATTGTTGATTAGGGTGTTAATAAATTCGTGTAACGTCATTTTTTCGGCCATCTCATTTTGAAAAAAGTGCGAGCCCTGCCCATGATTTAAAAAAAAACAACAAACATCTTGCATAATGTTCATAATAAACTGTATTTCTTGTACATTTTTGTACGAGTGGTTCTGAACCCAAGAGGGTGCAAGGATTTCTTTCTCTCTCTCCACTTATTTTCTTCGAAAATGAGTTATTGCGGTGAATCATTTGTATGCAGATATCCCTCTTCCTCTCTTTCAGAGGGGCGTATTTATGTGTGTGCTCGGTGAATGGTGGGGTGGAGTGGGGGTGGGGGGCGCCACAAAACAGTGCTGTGATCACAACATAGAAAATCTTTCTTGAACTGAGCCCCGTGTGAATGTATGATATATTTCAAAGTCTGTGAATCATGTGTACATTTAAAGCCGAGAGATTAGATTATGTTACAGGGCGAGCCGCAAATGACTTGATTTTTTTTTTAATCCCTCCTCAAACAAAAAAACTAGAGACCCCTTTCTCTTTGTGGGGTGGGGGGTGGGGGGTGGTCCCATTTCCATCCCAGCTTTGCCTCGATTTGATCAGACCACAAACTTTCTTCTTAGTAGCAACAATGACTCGCCTTGTACAGGTCTCATCCACAGTGACTGGGCTGTGGCTCAAACGAAGCTATACATCAACAAAAACACACCAAATAAGAAGGAAAAAAACACCCAAAAAACACCAAAATATGAACACCATTAAAAGAAACACAAATGACATGATTTTTAAATTAGATATATATCAAAATTGAATTTAAAAAAAAAAATTAATTAAAACGAAAGGAGGGCAGTGACTAATTAGGAATGCAAATAATGATTACATTTGATAGCATCTTCCCCTGGGACATGAAAGACAATTTATAATTTCATTTTGATGGAATAAATATTTCTTAAACTTTTATCGTTTTTTATAATTAATTTTATTAGACTTTTACTTCTGAGAGTTCTTCTTTCATGAACACCCGCCCTTTCCAAAACGGTCTAATAAACTAGGTTCAGTTAATACTTTGACATTTTTTTATTGGCAAATATTTTATGAAATGGAGGCTTGGGATATTCATTTTTTTTTTTTTTAAATTAAGGTTTCGCTACATGTACTATTTTTTTTGTTTTGTCCTTCCCCCCTTCCCTTTCCCCCTTCCCTTGCCCCTCCCCTGTCAGGGCAGTCCCGTCTTAAGGCAGCGGGAAAACTGGGCACTGGTGTAGTACCTTATACTTCTAGTGGCATAATGCTGCCCATATTTTTTTAAAGGAATCTCGAAAGTTCTCTCTGGCTATTCAGTTCTTTTCAGACGCCCAGTAGGAAGAATACTTCACAAGTTTATTTCTCCAAGCATATCGCTTATTAAGGTGTGTTGAATTTCTCCAAGCATATCGCTTAAGGTGTGTTGAATTTAATTTCTTGATTTAAAAACAAAAATCAATTCATTTTTTTTTTTTTTTTTTTTTTTTTTTTGGGGGGGGGGGGGGGGTATTGTGTGTTTGAATGTTAAACTTGTAGATTTCTCTTTAGAGATTGTGTGTTTGTGCTCGTGGTCCATGCTGCACTATTGCACTCATCAGAGATGGAGAGTTCGTGCCAGTCTATCACTTGGGCGTGTCCACATAACTGCTGCTCCGTTACATTCTTGTACAGGGTGATATAAATAATGAGCAATGACTGTGTGTGTGGTGTACGTACATAGTGTGTACATACACAATGTGTACATACATAATGTGTACATAATATACATATATTGTAGGGATATGCGTGTATGAACGAGGAGCGACGAACACGCATTATATTTACACACGCTTGGGGTTTCTCTGGACTCTCCGATACTCTCACTGATTGATTGTTAGTGTGGCTGACATTTTGTGCATTCGAAAAAATATTTACTTTTTATTTTGTTCACAAACATACGTGTACCGTGTACAAATTGACATTTTTAAACCTGTTTATGTACATCTCATTTTCTGTTTCTTTTTTTCTTTTTTAAATTTGGATTTTAAAACTGTTCCCCCCCCCCTCCCCCTATACAGTAAATACCAGGCTTTTAAAAAACAAATCTATACATTTGACTGATGAAATCCATATTTACCCTTTATATCTGCTTGTGATTGAACCCACCCACTCCCTCCCCTCCCAACCACTCCCTCCCCCCACCCACCCACTCCCTCCCCCCACCCACTCCCTCCCACCCCCCACCCAACCCCAATCTTTAAAAGCCCCCTACGCCC